TGAGGAAGAGGCACAGAGAGAAGGTGAGGAAGATGCACAGAGAGAAGGTGAGGAAGAGGCACAGAGAGAAGGTGAGGAAGAGGCACAGAGATGTGAGGAAGATGCACAGAGAGAATCTGAGGAAGAGGCACAGAGAGAAGGTGAGGAAGAGGCACAGAGATGTGAGGAAGATGCACAGAGAGAATCTGAGGAAGATGCACAGAGAGAAGGTGAGGAAGAGGCACAGAGAGAATCTGAGGAAGATGCACAGAGAGAATCTGAGGAAGAGGCACAGAGAGAAGGTGAGGAAGAGGCACAGAGAGGTGAGGAAGATGCACAGAGAGAAGGTAAGGAAGAGGCACAGAGAGGTGAGGTAGATGCACAGAGAGAAGGTGAGGAAGAGGCACAGAGAGGTGAGGAAGATGCACAGAGAGGTGAGAAAGAGGCACAGAGAGAAGGTAAGGAAGAGGCACAGAGAGAAGGTAAGCCACCGGGATAGCACCCTCCACCCTCCGGGGTCTATATACACGCTTGTCTGTCTGCAGACTAGATGGTTTCGCGTCTAATCATACACGAACAGGAAGATACACATCAACCGTATATAACAGTAGTTTTGGGTTTATTCTGTGTGTATCAAGCGTAGAATGTTTAGCTGCCATTATATGTAACAACGGGGGTGATCTGCGAACGTCATGGCAAGACAATATAGAGGTATCGCGCGAGAGCAAACACACGTTGTCATACAGTGTGACTATCTGTGCATGTGAATGTATGAGCGGTGTGCAATACGTTGGTTACTAAAGGCCTTTGACGGGGACGGTTTAGCGTAGCACACGTACGCACAGCGAATGACGCAGCGGGCATTTTACACGCAAATATTTGCCAGCTTTGCATAAACACATTAACTAAATCCATCTGCCTTTTCCTCCTCGTCCTCCTCTTCCTCTCTCTCTCTCTCTCGTCGGCGCTTCTCCCTCGTCTTTCTCCTTATAACGCTACCATCATTGAGATGTGGTGCAAGAACAGACAAGTGTTGAGGTCTACCTACTCTTTACGCTATCCTAAATCTAAACAATGGGGAGGCGGCGGTGAGCAAACTAATACGCACTGAAGGCAAAATCTATTGAAAACTGCATCGTGTGGAACGCATAATATGCCGACAACGGTTCTATTCTGTCACAATATTTAGACAGTCGAGCCAGCTCGACGTTTAAGCTCTGTGACACTGTTGATGTTACTCAGAATCAGTATGAACTCGTGTCAGTGTAGGGGTAGCCTGCCTCTCGGATACTTATGTTATGAGGACATTCATGTTTTTTTCCATAGGGGTGAACCAATGTCAGAACGTATTCAGGCGTATTTTTTGAGGTAAACCCGTATCTAAAAATGGCTAGCATCTTTGCTAGCGATAATGCAACGCCTGAATAAAAAAATGAAAACCTCTGTAATACAGGTGAAGTCGTAGCTGAACAAACTCGGTTTCTTTCGTAGATGCTGCAACCCGTTTCTCGACGCATCCACCTAATTCCATAAAAATGAACCCACATATGAGCCAGCTCAGCCTCTTTCGTAGATGCTGCAACCCGTTCCTCGACGCATCCACCTAATTCCATAAAGTTAAACCAACGTATGGACCACCTCAGCCTCTTTCCCTGACGCGCACCCTTCTCTGGAAGCATCCCAGTCTTTCAGTCGGATGTAAAGCCGCGTCCTTGCATGCGAAACGGGACTAGACGATCGTTGCGCCACCTCTCGCCGGGTCGTCGTTACACGCAGACATGGACGCACTACCCGCGTGCAACAGCTGTGGCGTCTGCTAGTCAGAGTTCGTATTCGCCCGGAAGGTGTTCAGCGCTGCTGCGGGGCCGCCGCGAAAATAAGCGTGCTTGAAACTGCCGGCCGAACAACGTAAACTAACATCGAAAGCGATGACCCCGCTCGCGAAATGCCCGCGACTGACTGATCGCGTTTATAGCTGCTAAAAGCTGTTCGGTAAACTATTCCCTAATGAGGGGGAGGGGAACTCAGGCGAGTGTCACTTGGAGCTATAGCACGCAAGATGGATATCGGTAGCGATGCCGGTGAGTGCGCGCGCGCCAGCTCATGCCTAAGCATTAAACGCAAGCAAATCGCATTTACTGCGCTCGCAACACACGCGCGCGCAAGGCGAGGGCAAATTAATCCAGAGAGACATGATACAAGATTGCGTGGCACAGCTTTGCTGTTGATCCTAAGCGCTGCGCGCGGATGA